TTGGTTCACCTATGGCAGAAAAAACAAACAAACAAACAAAACCACACAATAAAGGAGGCATTAGAAGCACTAGTGGCCAATGAAGTGTGACCTGGTTGCTTGGCTTGTATTGATTTTCCTCTTTAGAGACAATGTTACTCTCTTTTAAAGAGGAAGCAAGATCTATTATATATCTCAAGAGTTAGGAAATTCTGATTTAAAAATTTCTGTGAGCTCTTTCTGAACATAGCACTTCACTTCTCTCTGAAATTGAAAAAAAAATAGGGTAATTTATCTCTTAAAAAATGGAGATCTCTTTTTTAAGGCCTTAGATTTTATTAGCTTTAGAGCCATTTAGGCTAGAGACAGAATTATTAGTTGTAGAGAGCTATCACCCTTACTGCTTTTTTGCCTTTACAGGGTTTGTTTCCCCCTCTAGTTCTGAGCAGTACTAAGGTTAGAGCATTAATGAGTGGCTTGGGTTATATAACATTTGCACTGGAAGGTACTTAGTCTGATCTCCTCATTTTATAGATGAAGAAACTTTGACCAAGAGCAGTTAAGTCTCTTGCCTGGTATCACATGATTTGTTGCAAAGCCGGATGTAAATTTGGAAATCTTGATTCTTACTTCAGTTCCCCTACCCCCCAATATTTTATTTCACCTCTCCACTTCCTTTTTTTCCTGAGACATGGGCATGACCACATAATAGTCTTTGATTCGGATGATGTTCTGTAGCCACTGCTCATATAAGTAACAGTAATGATGATATTGTGCCACATTTGTGTTTATTTTTCTCTAATCTTACATAGCTTAATGTCTGTCACTATTAGTTTTATAAGTGATTAGGTTTATTATATGGACAGCCCATCTATTATTTTGAATAGAGTTGTAGTCAACCTATTCTTCATAATTTGAACAGCAGTTTGGGGGATAATTGACGTTTTAAGGCATAACTCAGGTTTTGTTTTGGTGTTTTTCTTATTCTTTCTTTCTTTGATCAATAGTACTCTAATTTAAATTTATTAGTTTGACTTGTTTAAATTGTGGATTCTTTCATTTACCTTGACCTTTCTCAGTTGGGTATACTTGAAGTAGAATGGCTAGCAAGCGGCAAGTGAGAGGAGGAAAAAAGAAGCATCTTGAATAATCTGTAAAAGTAATAATCAATTCTTGAATACATCAAGAGTGAATTATACTTAGCCTTATGGAATTTTAAATGCTTCAATTATAATATTTTAATAGAAAAATAACTTTATTTTCTGTTATAGCCGAATTAGCATGTATGTTATTTTTTTGGAACAAGATTCTATACTTTGCAAAGGAATAATTTTACATTTGTTTTCCATTTTAAGTCTTATAGTTTTTACCATGTTGTGTTGCTCTTGAACACTCATTATTAATATTTGATAACTATCTCCATAAGAAGCTGAACATTTTGATCATAATTGATCAGTTACTTTTGATTCAGTCTAAGGAAAGGTGAAGATAGAATCTTGTCTTTTGAACAACTCAGGACTGGTATATGCTTTCTTCTGTGTTGTGCCTCCTGTAGTACATGTCATTTACTTAACGTAGTAATTCTTAACCAGGGGCAATTTTGTCCTCTAGGGGACATTTGATAATGTCTGGAGATATTTTTGACTGTCATGGGCAGAGGGACTGCTACTAGCATCTTATGGGTAAAGGCCAGAGATACTGCTAAACATCTTGTAATGTATAAGACAACCTCTATAATGAGGAATTACTCGACCCAAAATGTCATGGTGCTAAGATTGAGAAACTCTCATGTGTGGGTAGTTACACAATTAAGTTTATTAAATTAAAAAATGTATTCTTTCTATTAATTAGGCATAAAGCTTTATTTATTATTTTATATATGTATTCACATAGCAATTTGATGATTTATAAGGGATAATTTAACTTTTTACTTCATTATGATTAAAACATTAAGACAAAAGTTTGGCAATTTTAATTGATTTTAGGTTAGTCATACTCCGTTGAAATAATATAATATTAGTAATCAAATGCTAATCAACAGGAAGATTTTGTGTTTCCCTTCAAGGTTTTCAGCACCTTAGACTCAATATTGCATATTATTCCCTAAAATATTGCTGCTTGGACAAATTAATATTGTCTATTATTCCCTAAAAATATTGCTGCTTGGAAAAATTAACTATCCACATGTCTAAACCAGTAATTAGTCTAGATTATCTCTATCTTACTATATTCTACTTAATCTCAGTTTTGGAGTTTAAGTCTGAGATAGTAAATAGAATCTGCTGAATCCAATAGCGAGCAAAACAGGCCTTCAGCATCTTGCTACAGAGCTGGAGTGTTTCAGTCTGAGTGGAGTAGAAGTAGATTGTAGAGTTGTTTGCCATAGGTACATCATTTCTAATTCTACTTTAAGATTGCTGTTTCTTATTTCTGTTGACCTGATTTAACTTTGACAAAACTATATGTTGTAAAAAGGAGCTATAGAGCCTTAGCAATTTTTTAGGGGGAGGGGGTGTTGAAGAGAGAGGAATGGGAAAGGGAGGAGGGAATGACTTACAAGGGAAGAATATTGAAAAGCATTTCAGTATCTTATGATGGCACAAAAGCGTTGTGGTAACTTGGATTTTCTTCTTAAATATTCATAAGTGCTGCCATTAGCTAGAGGATTAATGGATGGTCATGTCTGATGATCCTTATGTCAATGTGGTGCTGTTTCTTCCTTTTTATTTGGTATATGTGTGTTTTGTAGAGATAGGGTCTTGCTATGTTGCCTAGGCTGATCTCAGACTCAAGCAGTCTTCCAACTTCAACCTCCCAAAGCACTGGTATTAGAAGAATGAGCCACCATGCCCAGTCTGTTTGATAGATTTAACTGAATATGCTCTACCGAACCTTTAAGAAGTTCATCTGATGTGACATACCTGACAGGCTTTAGAACTTGTAATATTTGTTTCTTCATATTTGTGGCAACCAGAGTGGGAAGCAAATTCTAGATTGGTTTAACCGCCAATGGGTTTGGAATTTGGAAACATGATTTTGATATGATTTTTGTGTTTGGCATAAAAAAGTTGTTCCTGTAGCAATGGTAGCAATCTAATCAGTCAGAAATAGACTGTGCTTTAACAAACAGGAGGCAGCCAGCATGTAAAGTTAGTGCATGATAGATTATGCACTAGGTGAGGTTGAGAAGAAAGAAAGAGATGGTGTTATAATACCCAGAAGCTGTGTCATAGTGTCAAAGAGGTGTTTCTTGTGAGTGCTTCAATGTGATAGATCTGCACTTTTCTGTTTTTAAAAGAGGGGGAAAAAATCAGAAGATTTTCTACCCCTGACCTCCCTATTCAGTGGTTTTTACTTGAGGCAGTTTTGAACCCTGGTAACACATTAAAATTACTTGTAGAGCTTTAAAAAATTGCTAATGCATAAGCTCCATCCCTAGTACCAAGATAGCTGAGATCCAGGCATTAGTATTAAGAGCGCCACAGATAATTTAACATGCAACCAAGGTTGAGAACAACTGCTTTAAAGCGCATCAGAATTTTCTGCAGAATTTCCCTATTTATTAGGTTTGGGTTAGGGCCTGAGAATTTGCATTTCTAACAAGTTCTCAGGTAATGCTGATGTTGATAAGGTGCTCATACCTTGGGAAATTTTAAGAAGGCAATCTTAAAAATTCATTTGGGTGTAAGTGATGTTCTGATTAAAAAAAAATTGCTGGAGATAAATGGTTGAATTAAAAATTGAGATTAAAGAATAGCATTATGTATGTGGCTCCTTTTATGCTAAAAATATTGATATTTCTATATTTGAATTTTTTACTACAATAATCATTTTAATTTTTCTTGCTTTTTTTTTTTTTTTTTTTGAGTTGGAGTCTTGCTCTATTGCCCAGGCTGGAGTGCAGTGGCACACTCTGACTACCCCAGCGTCAACCTGCTGGACTCTGATGATGCGTCCGCTTCAGCTTTCCAAGTAGCTGGAACCACAGGCACACACTGCAATGCCTGACTAATTTTTGTTTTATTGTAGAGACAAAGTTTCTCCAAGTTGCCCAGGCTGGTCTTGAACCTGCCGGCTCAGGTAATCCATTTGCCTCAGCCTCCCAAAGTGCTGGTATTACAGGCTGAGCCACCGAACCTGGCCTTAAATTTTATTTAACATTTTTCCTGGAAGAAAAGCCACATCAGTAATAACTGAAAACTGAGTATAGTACTTAATAGTTTAAATAGCTGATCAATTTGAAATTACTGCAAATAGTTTAAATACTGCAAATAGTTTAAACTGCAAATAGTTTAAATACTGATCAGTTTGCAGTTATTAAGCTTTTAAAACTATTTAAAATAACATGGTTGTGTTTTTTTTTCTTTTCTAATATCCCATTCTTTGAGAATGTTTTTTACAGTCTTTTTAGGTATCTTAATGGAAGTAGCCCAAATAAAAAGATTCATCTTTGTTGAACAGAAATATTATGCATTTTCAGTTTGGATAGTTTTTTCTTTGAGACAGGAGGAGTTTTTTTTCCCCCCCTTATCTTAAGTATGGTGGAGAACCATACACTGAGGAGAGGAGTAGTGGGAAACGGGTAAGGAGAGACTGTACTTACAAGCTGGGGCTGTGTTGGAGGAAATGGACCTTCCAGGCTTTGAAAGACAGTAACAGGAAGAGGAGGTGACCTGTAACTTCCAGGAGTGAATGAATCAAGGAGACGGACATTGAGAGCTCCTGGGTTCAGAAATCTGGCTGAAGTCATAGTGCTGTTAAATGGCAGAGTCCATTCTCAAATTTGGGTCTCTGAGACCCCAGGGTCCATTTTCTTTCCTGCAAAAAAAGCTAAATAAAGGGGGCAAAATTCCATTCTAATGAATCAACTCTGCAACAAATGCATCAAGTGATAATTTTGTAGCAGTTACGAATTCTGAAGAAAGTCTCTAGATGGTTTTGGCCTCCTTGCTATTGTATTTGGATGTTGAGAAAGTATAGTCCTGAAATGACAGCTTGCCATGTCACTTTGTGTTTTTCAGAAATCATCCTCAACCTTTGATCACTGTGCTTGAACACAGACCTGATTGCTGGCCTGTACTTTTGCAGCAGCTGACGATTTTTTTCCAGCAATGCCCTGAAAGGTAATGTAAAATAAAATAATTGAGGGAGATAGAATGGTTTATGCTGAGAGCTAGGTTGGGTTTTTTTTGGTTTGTTTTTGTTTTTGTTTCTTATGCTGCTTTGACTATAATATTTTATCTTGAAGAAATGTCCTAGAGAAGTTTGTAGTTTTCTCTTTTTTTTTCTTTTCTTTCTTCCCTTCCCTTTTCTTTTTTGGGGGTTTGGGGTCTTACACTGTCATCCAGGCTGGAGTCCAGTGGCACGAACATGGCTTATGGCTCATTGCAATTATAACCTGCCAGGCTCAGTTGGTCCTTCCATCTCAGCCTCTCATGTATCTGGGACTACAGGTGCACACCACCATGCCTGGCTAATTTTTTGTAGAGATGAGATCTTGCAGTGTTGCCCAAGCTGATCTCAAACTCCTGGGCCCAAGCTATCCTCTCACCTCGGCCTCCCAAAGTACAGGGATTACAGGTAAGAACCACCACTCCTGGTCTTTATTTTCTGTTTAAAAGTAAAATAAAAAAAAAACTGTCAGATTTATTGGTTGTTGAAATACTGAATATAAGAAAAGCTGTTTTTGAAGAAGTTAAGCAATGGTGAGTGGTTATGAAAGTTGTTTAAAAATATTCAGTGATTGTACACAATACATAAAAGAAATATGTTCTTCCTCCTGGAAATTGACTGGTGAGTTAATCTCTTTGTTAAAAACCTACCAACTAGGATGAAGTCATATTTCCAAATGTAATCACCGAGCCACCGTATGTGCAGTTTGTTTGTCTTCACCAAGGCATCGTGGTGGTCCTCAAAGCTACTCTCATTTCTTCTATCCTTAAGACCATGGCACTGGTTCAGGTCCTCAGTAACTCTTGCTGTGGCTGTTGTTACCTGTTCCTAACTGTTGCCTCTAGCTCCAATCTTGTCCTGCTCAAATCCATTCTCTAAACATCCATCAGTGTGATATCAAGAGAGCAGATCTTATTGTATCACTTTCTTGCTTAAATCTCCATGGCTGTGGTTTTCAAACTATGCTGTTCGTTGCGTGGGCTAAGCATGGGGGGCATCCCTACCCCTTCAGCTCTGTATTCTTAGCACTTACTTGTTGATATCTTATGGAAGCTTTCTGTTGAAAAACAAAAAGCTTTTCTGATGCAATTTGACACTCCTTGGACTACAAGATAGAATCTATTGTGTCATGCTAGGCTCTGTATATGATATGGTTCTAATCTGTCTCATCAGCTTTATCTTTTCTTATCTTCATTCTGCAAGTTATGCTTTAGCAGCACACTGACTTGCTTGTTCCCCACAGGAAGCAGTGGTGTTCCCTTTCTTCATGCTTTTTCTTACGGGTTATCTACCTTATTCTTTTGAATCTTATCTTGTTCCCTTCCTTCCTAATTTCTCTATTTTATTTATTTATTTATTTATTCATTTATTTATTAATTTATTTATTATTTGAGTTGGAGTCTCACTCTGTCACCCAGGCTGGAGGGCAGTAGCACACTTATAGCCATTAAAGCCTTAACCTTCTGGGTTCAGACAATCTTTCCGCCTCAACCTTCCAAGTAGTTGGAAATACAGGCATGCGCCTTTACGCCCAGCTAATTTTTTTGATTTATTGTAGAGATGAGATTTCGCCAATTTGCCCAGGCTGTTCTCAAACCTGTAGGTTCAGGCAATCCTCTTACCTTGACTTCCCAAAGTGCTGGGATTATAGGTGTGAGCCACTGCACCTGGCCTAATTTCTTTATTTTAAATTTCAATTTAGGCATTCTTTGCCCAAGAAACTCTTTGCTTACTGCAAGCTGGATTAGGGGTCTCTCTTGTATTCTCCTGTAATAAGTTGGAGTTGTAATTTCATTACGCTTCTACATTGTCATATGATTACTCTCTATTAACTGTGAAACCTTCTCAGGGCAGGGACTTTGTTCCATTATTGTTTGTATTAATAATACCTGGCACATTTCTAGCTCCTTTATAAATGTTGAATTTCTATAAATGATGCCCCTGGATTGGCAAGGCCCAGGTAGTGGTTTGTAGAGTGCCTTGCAATATGTAATATCACTACATAGTACTGTCATAGAAGGTCATGATAAGGTACCATTATCCTGGGTAATGCCTGAATTACATTTGCCACACCAGCTATGTTCATACTTTCTTACTCTTGAAGGGTTTATAATATCCTATAGATATGGTTTCTTAGAACATTATTTCTGAGTCCATACTTCAATTTTCTTTCTTTTTATTTTCTATTTTGATTCAGAGGGTACATGTGCAGGTTTGTTACATAGAAATATTGAGTGGGTTGGGTTTCTATTGAGCCCATCACTCAGGTCATGGACATGGTATCCAGTGAGTAGTTTTTAGCTCTTCCCCCCACTTTCCTCCTTACCCCCTTTAGGATTGCCCCAGTATCTGTTCCCATCTATGTGCCCATGTGTGTACAGTGTTTAGCTCCCACTTATTAGGGAGAGCATGTGGTACTCCGTTTTCTGTGATAATTTGCTCAGGATGATGGTCTCTAGCTGCATCCATGTTGCTGCAAAGGACATGATTTTTCTTGTTTTTATGGCTTTGTAGTATTCCATCGTGTATTATGTGCCACATTTTCCTTGTCTATTCCAGGAATGATGGGCAACTATTTTGGTCCCATGTTTTTACTGTTGTAACTAGTGCTGTGATAAACATGCACATGCAGGTGTCTTTTTGGTAGAGTGATTTGTGCTCTTTTGGGTATACACCTAATAGAGGGATTGCTGGGTCTAGTGGTAGGTCTATTTTTAGTTCTTTGAGAAATCTCCAAACTGCTTTCCACAGGGATTTAACTAGCTTGTATTCCCACCAACAGTATAGAAGCTTTCCTTTTTCTCTGCATCCTTGCCAGCATCTGTTGTTTTTTTGACTTTTTTTTTTAAGTCAGGGTCTCACTCTGTCACCCAGTGCAGTGGCATGATCATGGCTCACTGCATCCTTAACCTCCTGGACTTAGGTGAACCCTCTGCTTCAGTCTCTTAAGTAGCTAGGACTACAGGTGTGTACCACCATATTTAGATAATTTTTATTATTTTGTAGAGACGAGGTCTTGTTGTGCTGCCTAGGCTGGTCTTAAACTTCTGGACTTAAGCAATCTTCCTGCCTTGGGTTCCAAAAGTGTTGGGATTTTGAGACACCATGCTCAGCCTGTTTTTTTGATATTTTTAATAAAAATCATCCTGACTGGTGTGAGATGCTATCTCATTGTGGTTTTGATGTGCATTTCTCTGATTATTAGTGATGTCAAACATTTTTTCGTATGTTTATTGGCTGCTTGTATGTCTTCCTTTGAGAAGTGTTTTTTGCCTACTTTTAAAATGTGGTGTTAGTTTTTCTCCTGTTGATTTGGTTGAGTTCTTTGTAGATACTAAACCTTTGTTGGATAAATAGTTTGCAAATATTTTCTCCCATTCTGTAGGTTGTCTGTTAATTCAGATGATAGTTTATTTGGCTGTGTAGAAACTCAAGTTTAAGTCCCACTTGTCAATTTTGTCTTTTGCTGCTTTTGCTTTTCAGGTCTTGGTCATGAATTCTGTGCCTAGGCTGCTGTTCAGAAGAGTGTGTCTGGTGCTTTCTTCTAGAATGTTTACAGTTTGAGATATTGTTTAAGTCATTAATCCATCTTGTGCCAGACGTGGTGGCTCACACCCATAATCGCAGCACTTTGGGAAGTGGAGGCAGGAGCGTGATTTGAGGCCAGGAATTTAAGAACGTCTTGAGTTAATTTTTAAAAATAAGGGGTCCAGCTTCATTTTTCTGCTTGTAGTTAACCAATTTTCCTAGCATCATTTGCTGAATAAGCTATCCTTTCGCTGGATACTGTTTTTATCAGCTTTGTCTAAGATGAGATGGTTGTATGCCAGCGGTTTTATTCCTAGATTCTCAATTCTGTTCCATTGGTCTATGTGTCATAACTTCAATTTTAGGTGGGATTTCTAGGTAGGATGGATATACTGCTATAGGAAGCTTTAAAGAGATATAGGGAACTTGTGTTTTAGTTAGTTTGGGTTGCTGTGAGAAAATACCATAGATGGAGTGGCTTATAAACAACAGAAATTTATTTCTTACAGTTTTGGAGGTTGGGGTATCCAAGATCAAGGTGCTAGCAAATATAATTTCTGGTGAGGGCCTCCTTTCTGGTTCCTATACGGCCATCTCTTCCATATGACCTCACATAGTGGAAGGGGCAAGGGACTTCCCTTAGGCATCTTTTATAGGGGTACTAATCCCATTCATGAAGGTTCCACCTTCATTATCTAATCACCTAATACCACCTCCTAATACCATCATGGGGACGAGGATTTCAACATATGAATTTGAGGGTTGGGACACAGATATTCAGTCCATAGCACCTTGTGATCAGCTGCCAGTGAGAAAAATTCATGTAACATTTGAATGAGTAGCTCCAAATGAACATTATTATTATCCTCTCTTACCTTGCTTAGGATTGCATTTTCAAAGAGAATATATTAATATTCACCCAATAAGCCTTTGTCTAACCCTGTCAGAAACAACCAACTGAAACTTTTTTTTTTTTTTTTTTTGATTTGGAGTCTCACTCGGTTGCCCAGACTGGAGTGCAGTGGCCGCTCCCGGCCACCGCAACCTTGCCTCCTGGGCTCTGGCAATCCTTCCGCCTCAGCCTTCCGAGTAGCCAGAATTACAGGCACGCTTCCACGCCTGGCTGATTTTTTGATTTGTTGTAGAGATGAGGTCTCGCTGCTCAGGTGGGTCTCGAACCCGCGGGCTCAGGCAATCCACTCACCTCAGTCTCCCAAAGGCGCGGGATTACAGACTGACCCACCGAGCCCGGCAACAAACTGAAATTTGTAAACACATTTGGTTGATGAATTTTCTCTCTTATTGTTAAATAGATTGGGATGCCTTATAAAAGCAACAGCTGCTGCTGTGTCAAATTTATCATTAAGCTTCTTTTTAGGGTAATTCTTAAGAATGCTTCCTTTTCCCAATGCTTTATCCAGTC